TAGAGGTCTGATTGAATAAGTCCAGGGTGGAACCGAGATAACAGTATTTTCAAAATTTCTCTCCACATGACTCCAATGTAGAAGCTGGATTGCTAATCACTACTTATGCCAAGAGAGGGAGAACGAAGATGATTGCAGGCCCTGTGGTGAGTCAGACAGGAGACCTGGGATCCGAAAAATGCCTCCAATCTCATCATGTTGGCAACTGGCTACTTCAGCCAAAGATTTATTTGAATCCTTGTTGTTTATTCCCTACAGGTCTCATCTAACAAGAAAAAACAAAACCTGTGCAGAAATTCTCTTTCTATGACCAGTTTCCCCAAACAAGATCTTTGAATTGGCAAAAATACAGTCAGTCCCATGACATGGTGCCTTCTAAGTTCAGTCTCTTCCAAGATTCTGGCTGTTCCTTCATACATGCTCAGAGGAGCACAGACCTCTCTATCTCCTGAGCTCCCAGAACAAACCACAGATGTTTTGCTTGTGTATCACTCTTATTCCACAAAAGGGTATAAAGACAGACACTGTTCAGAGTAAGAGAGACCAGTAAGTCTCAGCTGGTACCCTAGAAAGCAGTGCATTAGCAACATGATAAGAAACACAGTACAGGAGAAGGAAGTTCAGCCTTTCCAGCATCTCCAACTCCATCAGACATCTACAGACATAGGAAAGTAGACTCACTTTACTCTCAGCGACCTGTCATCTTTGTTAATAATCAGATTATTTCTTCAATAGGAGACACATATTGAATTTTCTTTCCACTGCCTATGTCAGCTCTACTGTCACAATACCTGAAAGCAAAGCATGGTAAAGCTGAATTCTTTTTCACATGATCTGAAGAAATTTTATGCTCTGGATTCCCCTCCTAATGATATTATTCATGTCCCATTCTGAACCCCTTTTTAAATTAGAATTGCACACCACCTGGCTCAGCATGAACAGACAATGTTGGTGACAAGGCACTCTAGTCTTGTTTCACGGCAGTTGAACATGCTCAGTGGCCCCAGTTGGGAAAACACGGTGGGTGTTAAGTGATCGTGTATTAAGTCCACGTATCCAAAAAGCATCCATGTGTAAACATTAAGAAGATGAGAAAGAACTCCCAGAAAAAACAAACAAAAGCATGAAGAAGGAGATTTCCACTTAAAAATGAGCTCGAAAAACTGTCTCCATAGTCTGAAACCTTTTGGCTCATTTTCAAATGTTTTATGAATTTCTGAAAGAGCCATTTTATAAAGAACCTTTTATATGATATTACTCTACGCTATCTTATTATGGCCACTCTGATGACTTGGTGCTTGAAACTGTCACAAAAATATATGCTTGTATCTTCTCTCAAAATGTGTGAAGTTGAGCTAGGCGAGTTTGGAGGAACTTAACTGTTAAGAATAGTGGCTTTAGAAAATAATACTGTTAATAGCAATAAATTGTCAAACTTGTGAGCCTAATTAAAGTCAACAGAATGACAAATGAGACCTTTGCACCATTCCGTAGCTCGGAGCCTGTAAAACTTGTCAAAATATGATATGTGTTGTGATGAAGGCATTTGCTTTGCGAATGTATTTATTACTCACCCTGTCCCACTTTTCTTCCATCCTCCCTGCAGTTAGAGAAAGGGGAGAGACACACTTAAATTACAGCTTTCACCGTTTGAATTGAATATATGCTTTTCCTGTGCTCTCCTCCCAGACTCTCGGGGTCTCTAGTGGGAGAGTACAGGCCTGCGGACAGATGATCATTTCATGCAGAGCAATGGGTGCCAGAGGCCCATGGGCAAATCGCTCGTATGGCCCTGATCCTTCTCTACGTGTCAGCTTCATCTCTTTGTTTACATGCACCCCGAGCCTTGTCCCCTTTTATCCGGAACCTTTTCTTTGCAGGCACTTCAGCTGTTAAAGTTTCGTGTAGGTGTTTCAGGGATAAGTAATGAGTAAGCAATTTAAATTAGTGAGCTTTGGGGACAATAAACCAACCAAGTCCAAGGGGAACGGAAAGCAGCAGAGTTTATTTGAACATCAGGAAGAGAAACATCAAGTCTGGCCATTGTCCCTAC